AGTCTTCGAAGCTTACAACGGATATATGTGTATGTGTCTATATTTTCGTTTCTTATTAAGTGTTAATACAATTAATTTGCTACATCGCTTGACTTTTCTCCACCTCTCCCGTCATCTCTTTACCCCTCTTTGTCACGTACTATCTAACACACTTTACTCCATTTTAAAGCTACCATTAAGGTAATCGCTGGAATAGTTTAAAACCGTATGCTCTTCTTTACATTTTCAGACACTGTGACATTTCTAACGTTAATCTTCTATCTTCTTCGATGATATTATGATATACGTGTATTCGATGTTCGCTTTATTTTGTTTGAAGTGTATGTCAAAACTTGTTAAGCTTTAAAACCACAAGAAATAGAAGAAGAGAACCGTTACGTAATAAGGAAACCATTATCAGACATAACTACACAAAGATAATAAGTTCCAATGAATTTGTATTACATAATATCTGAAAAATCACCAAATGAGGAAAAAAAATATTTGAAATGTTGCTGACGCGATTTGCTGCTACCACACAATGCACGCTTGTGCTATAATTGCATAGACATTTAATAAATAATTATTAAATGAACGTGAGATGTGACTACGTACCGTATCTGAACTAAAATGTGCACCGCAATGTTTTAGTCAACCTGTATACCCTACACTTCTGTATCATATATTCAAATTTTCTTGTCATTTTGCCTTAGATATTTACTATCTTTCTAGAAAGCTTTTTTTATCTATCTTTAGTTTGTAATGAAAGCACGGGTTAAGTATGATTTAAATGTAATTTTCGTGAAAGAAATGTTTTTGTGGAAAATCTATTAAAGCGCTGAACGTGAATGCTTGCCTTGGTGGCTTAACTTCATGATGTTCGCTGTGATAGACGCTCCCAATAAGTGCGACAATCTCTATAATTCAGAATTTCATTTTGTCTGGAATACCACGTCGATTTAAAATGTATGGGCACGCCGTTCATACCCACGTTTTTTATTCTTTCGCAACTTATATTATCCCTGTCGGTAATCCAAGCCAAAAAGTTCCCCTAAGCAGAAGTGACCGAACGCGAGTGGGCATCGCGACCTCCATAATGCCTTCATTTAAGTTTATAAAGCCTTTAGCGTCGCTTTGCGTGACCGTAGTTAACTTACTTTGGGGCCTCTTATATATGCCCGGATAGCCATCCTGACTATTCCTTATTAAACGTTATTGTTGGTATTTGTCTGCATAAAAACATATTGTTGCCATTTGCCCGCATTCATAAGCCATTTATAGCCAAAAACGATTAACTTTTTACATTTAAAATAAATTTCTTTAAATTAATTTCTTTAATCCTCACTCTTTAATCGTGTTATACAAAACCGTATTATATAAATGCGTGCTATAGGACGATTTACCGTAGGCGTTATTTTGATGCAAAAACTTGTGAAGAAAAAACTGTGAGTACTTTACTTAAAAAGTTTCTTATGACCAGTTCTGCCTGAAAGCATGCGTATTTGCCCTAGGAGAACATCCACTTTTAGCGTGAAAATTGCACATAATCGCTTCAAATCAGGTTAACAATCTCATAATCCTTTTTGCTTAAATGCAAAAGCTTGCAGATAAATATTCTTTTAAGTAATGAAATATTGCATTCATAATGATTGATAATGATGAATTTAGTAATGATTAAATGTAATAAGATTTTCCAGAAAACAATTCTGTTGAATTGACTTTCCCTCTTCAGCACTTAGCCTCACCGAATTTTGCTTCGCTGCTTTATCATGCAATCAACATTCTATTGACTGCTTCTTATAGTAGGCTAGCTAAGGGTAACACATCTGTACGACGGCCAGACATATTCTTCTAAATACTAACGTTCTCCCAATACAGCCTCTGTGTGGGAAAACCTTTTTTTCAAAAATAGAAAAATTGATTTGGAGCGGGCTGAGAGAGACAGAACAAGAGAGAGAGAGAGAGGCAAGGAAGGAGAAATAGGGAAGAAGAAGGAGACAAACAGGAAAGGAGAATTATGAATAAGGGAACTAAAAACAGGTAGGGAATTTATGGTCGGCTTTGTAGTCATCTTAAAAAAAAAAAAAAAAAATCGGAAAGAATGAAACTTCGACATTCTATAATATTCGACAGGCATTAGTGACTTTTGTTGTTCTGGATCTTGCGAAGGTTTTGCAAAAATGAATACAACCCACACCTCATGTCAAAACTTTTAACCCCTTAACATAATAAGAGCGACAAGCGACAACAAAACCACAACCTACAAAAATATTGTTTTAAAGCAAAGCAAAATGTATGCTTCCTTAAAAACGGTCTCGTTTAAACAAATGACACATTCACCTATAACAAAATAATTTGCCTTTATGATGTATTGATCGAAGATGTTGAGTATCAAAGAAACTACGTAAGCCAAATATAACTTTCTTACCAATTACATCACAAACAAATAGCACAAAATTCTTTATAAACTTGTATAGCATTTTTGTTTTCATCGCAGGTTAAGTACGCCATGTATGGCCTTATGTCTAAGTGCAAGAATTCCAGCCCATATTGCACATTTACTCACTTCAGCTGACGTTCGCCTTGGTCAATTTACCGCTTTCTTATTAGGGAAAGCAAAACACGTTAAAACATATTTTCTTTCAAAAACTAATCTTCTATTGACTGACCAACACATGTGGAAATGAGTAAATTTTCCAATTGTTTTTTATTTGTATAACTAAACAATATGCTGAAATGCTGTCTATAAGGTCGGTCTTCTGTAAAAAACTTTATTCTTATAATAAATCGGTAAATAATTCCCGGGACTAAGTAAGACGTGGCTGTACGACAATATTTGAAGAGAAAGAAGAGTTGTCAGAACAACTGAATTTTGATGGTGCTTTCAATAGCCTCTCAATAATTCGGTTTGTTGCAATATTTAAAAAACAATTTAAGACCTCTTAAAAAAAATGATGTAAAGACTCAACAAATAACATTAGCTCCTTAAGAAGAACTTATCGCTTACTGAGTAAAAGCGAAAGCAAGATCACCGACATATTGTCAAAAGAATTACGTAAAACAAGATATATTATTTACTTTAGCTCACATCTACTTGTGCTATTATTTACGAAGGGCTTAAAGCTCAATGCCTTTGGTAGGACTGTATTGAACTTATTACCTTTCTATCAACAGAGTAAAGTAAACGAAGTCATTACCGCTGTGCGCTGTGTTTTCAGATAGCCCTGCTGAATGATTCCACCTGCCACTAATTACGGATTCTAGTTTTCTACACTTATGAGAATCGTTGCAAGCAAGATCTCCGCCGCCTTCAAACCCAATTTGTGACTTTCATTTAAAAATATATAGTATATGCCTTATATTGCCTTCTATTTCAGTTTTTGCGATCGTGAGTGCGACAAGTCACGAAGCACATACAGACAACAACAACGAACGAGAAAATTGAAATTTTACGTTGATTGAAAATATATATACACTTCTTAGCAAGACAAAAGGAGGAACGACGCAATTTAGAATACCCCCACTCCTTTGCAATGGACTTTACCTACATCTTCTTAAAATTTGCTTGATAAAACAAAGGTATTGAAAACGACTGAAAAGACTTCACGACCCACAATTAAATACCCTACACAATTTTGTTTAATACAGTTACTCATATAATGACTTTCCATAATAAGGCTTTCTGCTAGAAGTGATCGAAAAAATGATCCGATTCGTACCATTTTCAACGGCATTGGTCTTTGGACAGAACTATGCCGATGTACAAAATTTCTCGACAATTGCGAGAGAAAATAACTCCGAATCGATCGGTAAACAAAAGCTAATTCTATCTCAAGTTCATCTGCATGCTGCATACATTCGCACAAACTTAATATACCCTTTTGCAATCAGTCGTTTAGAGTATAATTACAGAATAAAATTTCTTAATGTTTTTCAAATGAATAGTTTGTATATTTAAACGTGAAAACCACAATTGATTCTCTGTGTGTCGTTGAAATTAATCACTTGCATTTAAATAGACGTAAAGACTGAATTGCGACTGAATTGTAGAACAGGTTTTTGTTTCCAATGTAATAAAAATAATTTAAAATAAAAGATGTTTCATTCGATTATTTTTGTGGTCATTGTCTTATGCCGCGTTTGATCATAATCTCGCTGTGTTACATATTTGAACTTTGTTAGGACTTCAACTCGAATTTACCGCAATAATTAACTTAAATAAGTCAATTTAGTCCTTGAAGCGTATCGTATTACCATTACAGTTTAGCTTTTTCTGTTGAAGCTTTCATTAATTTCCATCATCTTTGTTATAAAATACCTATTATTCTACTTCTGCTTCTGCGAGTCAACAAATCAACAACAGATGATTTACTGAGACAAGTAAGCAAGATTTTATGTGAATACGAAGTACTCTGCTTCAACCTCAATAAAGTTGGCGGACTATAAGTTATTTGTAGAACTATCACTCTAAGTGATCTCTATAGTTGTCAGCTGCATTCTGCCAAGTGTTCTGTTCACGTTCTTACTTAGGTAGCGTTCCCATTTTTAATATAATTAATCACACCTTCCTTTCGATGTTTAAAATTTAAAAATTAAGTTCTACATTGTGCTTCTTTTCACAAATTAAGTTCTACGAATAGACCCACTTTTTCATACCTTTTTGGTTTTCTTCATATTGTTATTAAAGGTACGTATAAATTATTCTCCTCTGATCATAGCAGGATATGGGTAACCTTTAAATACTATATTGTAATGTCTGCGCGAACCATCGAAAAAAATAGAGTGGAATGTAAAAAAGACAACAAAGCAAAAAAAGCCCTGCTGATATGACAATATTATTGTAAACAAAAAAATGTGTTTTTTTTTTCCAAAAATGCTTGAAAATTAAATTGACTAGAATAAATATCGCTTACGTGCAGGGAACCACACTTACTCATGGAATTTAAACGAGAAAGTAATTTAATATACAAAAATATTTAGTTTTATTCTTTTTATATATGTATGTAAAAATATATCAGTCATGTAAACACACTTTCAGACAGACATGCAGGCAGGCATAACTACATAAAAACGTGCGCATACACACACAACTGAACTCTGTAATGATACCTCAACTATTAAAAATAGCAATAAAACGCCAACTGTAAGCGTAGCATAATGGAAAAGCTTCAGTCTATTCAAGTACGCGCTGAGAGAGCCTCTGACTGACACATTCCTGGCTGGTCGTATGTATTGAATTTTAATTAAGTACCCATTATATTGTGTATGTGTAAGCCTATGAACAATGCGTGAAAGTATACTTCAACCACAAAATGCATATGTTTCCCTGACTATCTACCAGGCAATCTCTTCTAGGGACGAATTGACAGACAAAAGAACGTGAAATACGAGGTCTCACATTTGTATTTTCATTCCATTATAAAAATTAGCCACTTTTACGGTTTGTTTTTTTTTTGTTTCTGTAATCTCTGCTACTCCTCAATGTAGTTCGTCTTTTTCGAAATTTTTATTCAATAAGAAGGAAAACCAAAAGCAGAGCAAAATGAAAAACAACAATAAATATTTGCATTTTTGGTATTATTTTGTGGGGAAGAATTATTTAAAATAATTTTAATTAAATTAAGCTGATTGCAGTTGTGTTTAGCACTATTTGTCAATTGAACGTGTAAATATTTAATTGTTAAAACGAAAACAAGGTTTTAATTAAATTCACTAGAAGAAATTTTCTTATATTATAAGAAATTAATCTTAAGAAAAATTTTCGAAGAACTCAAGACGGTGAATCCCTTATAGTTGGCCACGGCCCACCATTGAGTGCCCTACACCGCATCACTTAATGCAATTATTCACTTATTGACTTTTCAAAATAAAGTGTTATGTGGGAAGTGGTCGAAAAACCCAACTATTTCAAAAGCGTTCGAGCATATTTCGTTTCAATCCAACGACACAAATTATTGCAAATTATTTAAACTCATAATCAAAGTTCGCGTTTCGTCGAAACACTTCGTCTATACTAAAACCGCCAGCGTAAAGTTGAAATAATAGGTGATCATACTCTTGAATCGTCCGTGCTCCGCGTAAGGAGTATTACTAAATATTATGACAACATTGCATCAATGCATACTTTGGTGTCTTAACAAGGTCCAAAGTTATCGACGATTTCCAAAATTGAACAACACAGTGAGGACCTCTAAATATCTCGAACAAGCAGTTTTCATAGGAGAGGGTACTACCCTAAAGAGCCGAAGTGTAATCAAATTATTAAAAAGAAAAGACGCAAACCGTAAAGGAGACGCTCTCAATGGATAACTTCAAAATGCACTTTTTAATCCAAACTTACAAAACTTCGTTTTCTTAATAGCAGTTTATAGAGAGCAATCAATATATCGGAGAAAAAAATTATTAGACTCTGCACTCTCTGTCTACTTGACGGGGGTAAATTGTAGTTGGCTTATTGATATAACTAGCAAAGAGCTTTTAATTTTTTTATTGTTAAGTCTCTCGAATATTTTCACGAATTTCTCTTCTCAAATTTTTTCATGATTGAAGAAACTCTTCCGTTTTTCTCATTCTATGAATTCTGCATTTTTTTTGAAAACTTTCGAAAATGAGTCTTGAAGAAGGTTCAAGGAATTACGAAACTTTGTCGAGAGCATCGACTTAAAATATGTGAAAAGGTATCAACTATTTTGTGTTTGAAGCCTATTAAAATTTCTATCAATAGAAAGTAGTAAATTGTTCACCAGATTTCTTTTCACAGCAAAGGGGACGTGAAGTTTACCATATTTTTTGTAAACAATTTCGTATATTTTTTCATACCTCCTTTTGAATTGTAACCATTTCGTATGTTTTTTCCATACCTCCTTTTGAATTGTAACCATTTCGTATGTTTTTTCCATACCTCCTTTGGAATTCATATGTTTTTCGTATGTTTTTTCCATACCTCCTTTTGAATTGTAAACAATTTCGTATATTTTTTCTATACCTCCTTTTGAATTTATATATTTTTCAATCGAATTTCCAATGTCAAATTGAAATGATTGAATGTATAAAACAATAAAATTGCTCGTATCGCTATTTGGAACTATAACATAAAAATCAAATCGTATTCGTCGCTTACTGTAACAATTAGAAATTGCAAACTTTGTCTGGGAAAACAAAGTTGATCTAACTTTAAGTCAAAAATAAAGGGATCTACACATTTAGCTCAATAGTTCCTTTTACTTCTCGTAGACTAAGATTTCAGGCTTTGCTTAAAGCATTGAAAATGATTACAAACTTCTCAAATTCACATGCTAAGGTCGAAAACAAAAAAGTTGTCTCAAGCCGTCGTCCACTATTAGTGAAAAGCTTTTTACAGGAAAGTTGAAACGTTTGAGCAAGACAGGGCCGACTGTTAACCATAGTGTACTGCTTCACTTAATTTAAGTCTTCATCTAGCTCCTTCATAAAATACTAAGAGTTGCCCTAAAAACGCTTTCTTTCCCTGATTATTTTTATACAGGGAAACGGTAACGTTAACCGACGTGGTTCAGAATTAGTTAAATTACTTTTTTTGTCAAAAAAATTTAGTTAATTTCATCTACTGTTGCCATAAATTATTAAAACTTACACCTTTTTGCCGTATAAGGACTTAATTTCTATTAGAAACCTTATATACGGGGGGATTCGAAAAATAGATTAACGTTCTGCGTAAATTTGTTGTAAGTCACCATTCTGAATAAGGTTTCATTATGAGACAATCAAAGTTAGACTTTGTTGCAATTTAAGGCTTATTTTTTATAGGAATATTTATGTGAGAGGGAACTCGAAAATTGGTCACACCCTGTGCAACGGTTCCAGATTCAATTAATAAATAAAATACAGTTTTCCACTGATTATTATTAAAAAACTTTAAAGATTGCAATTTTTGTTTAATGTAATACGACTATTTTTTTAATGGGCTTTTGTAAAGGGAGTATACGTACAAATAGTCTGATTCAATAAATTTTCGACAAGCTTAATCTCTTAGGCCAAAATATATGAGTGAATAGAAACCACGTGAATGGACTGGTGGTTTCAGGAAACGATTCAAAATTTATCGGTACATAAAACAGTTTTGGCATACATCCGCACAAACTTGCATCTGCCGTAAGTTATACTAAATGCTTTAAGTAGCTAAATTTTCCAGTAAGGACTATTAACTATTACATATTGACAAATTGTGTAAAAATAAAAAAGTGAAAAAAATTTCTGATAGTTTTGTACACAAACCGCATTGCTTCTTGCAAACAAATCACTTACATATGATTGCATTCGACTACGTTATTTAATTATAAGCGATTAAACGTACCAATTAATTATTAAACCTTATAAAAAGCTTTTTCTTTCTGTAGTTTCGCGAGTGACAATAAATCCCTTTGAAACCAATTTCCTTTATTTTAATTTTTATGTATTTATTTTTTTTCTTGAATTTATTACCTTAATTATCTTTTCACTTTAACTAAAGCAATTATTTTACTCCCAGGTAAGTTTTAATATAATATAAAAATGAAGAAAGGCATCCCTCACTCATTTGACAGTTTCAATTAACCACTAACCAACACTATGCGTTCTCAATGCATCTCTCTCTCTGTCTTTCATTTACGAATTATGATACCAGGACTGGTAATAAGCATATGTTGTGTTGAACTATTCGCTCTCGTGTACTGTTAAGTCTGTTTGTCATTTTATAATCAAATTTGCAACGACGCAAACGGCTCCCAGAGTAAACTACTAAGCCAATGCGAAAAATTGAAGGAATTGTTTTTTTTCTATTTATTTTTGTTTTTAAAAAGTGAGGAATAAAGCAGAAAGTAATTATAATGAAAATACACAAATAAATGTATAAATAAATTTACAAAAAAATATTGTGTAAAAATAAAATAGAATAAACGAAATGTAATGTGTAGAAACAACAAAAACAAATAAATCTACTGCATTATTATAGAAACGCCCCGATTTAATATTAAGAACAAATATCTAGAAAATCATTATTTTTTAATAAATGCAAGAACAAAAAATAAACCGTCGTTAAATTAGCCGAACTCCTTTCTTATTTGATATATGTATAAATACTTATTAAATCACCAGTCAAGTGTCTGCAGCTGTTTTTTTTTTTTATTAATATATGAAAAAACATGTGTATGTGTTTACAAATGCTGATGCTCTCTTTCGCATATGTGTGTAACTGGAACTTGTTGCTTTGCAGAGACTAATAATCTGTAGATAAATCATAACACAAAAAAAAGCAAATTTCTACAAAAATCTCGCTAATCATCGAAAATTTATTTTTGGATTTGCTTAAAAGTATTGTACATTGTTTGTGAAGATTGCTAAAAAAAAAAAAACAAAAGTAAGTTCAATGGATTTTAGTTCAACAAGAATTTAAAAAAAAAGGAACGAGAAAAAGTTGTTTTTATTAATAGTGTTACGGAAGGTTTCTATTTCCACATCGATCGGAATGAATCTATAAAGTACTTTGATGAGTGAATGATATTAACTCCTTAACAAAGTCCTATTGGCAAGGCAGGTATTGTGAACGACCTTGAATTGTTTACGACAAAAAATAAAATATGTTGGAAGCTCAAGTTTATTTCAGACTCGATATGAGTTTCATTTATACATTACTTATATACTTTAACCTTAATTTTTTATCTTTGCACTATTTTTGGTGATAAGCATACAAAATTTTTTTATGATAATTACTTACGTTCAGTTTTTCTTTTTTTTTATAAGAGTTTTAATTGTTGTAACTTCGATTGCGTTTTGCATACTTTCGATAAATGGATAAAGCCGACTATCTGACCCTGTTGCCTGCTGCGTCAAATTTTCATTTGACGGTCAAAATTTTTTTCGTCTGTTCGGCTCTTTCCGTTAGTTGTTTTCACTCGACATGTTGTTGTTAGTCTTTATTTAAGTTTGAACTTATAATAAGGAATGGAATACAAACAAAATCTAAGTATAGAAAATTTGAAAAATCTTTGGTGAAAAAACTGAAGAGCCGAAACATTAGAATGAGTGAGGTTAATGTTAAAACACCAACTATCTCCTAGAAGTAGTTAAAAAACTGGACAAAGGGTTACACTAAACTCCCTAGAACAAAATAGAAAGAAGAACGTTACCGCATTCCGTTGAAATCGGAACTTCTTTTAAATTTGGAAGGCTTCAACTTAGCGAATATTGAAAATAAAGAGTATCATATCGGCGACAGATTGGAAGGTGAGTTGAAATATGACATATTGGACAGGTAGATTAATCTAGCAGCTGCAGCGTACGATGGCAAGAGATGATGGTAGGAAGAACATGATCGTTCGGCACCAATCTCCTTCGAGACAGGTTTTATTTTTCTCCTAACGGAGGTTGACAACTTTTCCGCATTCCACCCTCCAAAAGAAAACAAAAAAACGTTCAATATGTGTTTCGTTCGCAACACACTTGTCCTTTAGGTATTTATCTTCTCTCATATACATATTATACACATTATATATAGGCACTTATATTATAATAAAGTAATCATCTAGAGAAGTAACGATTGCTATAAAGCAATCATATATAGAAATAACTCTAATTATAGTAATGATGACCTTTCATAAACAATTCCAAACGATATTATCGTTCAATTGAAGTGAAATTGTGTCGGAATTCTACAAAAATTTCATTTGATCGGTTTATTCTTGATGAGTCATCATGGTTCATTTAATAATATAAAAAAAAAATAAATAAAATACTCTTGTCGTTGATAGTATAATAACAGCAACAACAATAATAATAAATTGTTTTTTAACTGTATTCAAAATAAAATCAATCGAAAGCTAAGCATGAGTAAGTTTAAATAAGAAAAAAAAATATGCATCAACGTACCACCACTCCCATTAAACATTTATGCAATGCCTGCCTGTTTGCGCGCTTCTCATTTCAATAGTTTAGCTACATTTATATGCAAACTGCATATTATTAATTTTTTCTCTTTATTTCAATGTTCTTTACTTTTTATGGTTTTATAACCTCAAAAATACAAATAAGCTACAATAAGTGACGGTGTCCCTCTTCTACAGTTGTTCAGTTCATCCCTTTAAACAACAAATTTTCCCTTTCAGGTGAACTCTTAAATTTATAAAAACGGATACATTTCCGTTTTAACTGTATTCTTCCCAAAACTTCTAAAAACACTACTAAGCACCCGTGTTCGCCACTATTCATAAAAAGCAATTTTTTCTTGTATAGAATTTTTGTTTGCGTAATACAATAAAATATGGAAAATAAAAATATGCCAAAATTTGTTTGTCTTCTTTTTCTTTCTTTTTTTTCCTTACTATTTTCTTTGTAGTTATTGCACCACGAGTCAGTCGCTCGTTTCAAACATCGCTAGCGACGACATAATATAGCATATTAATATGGACAGCCAAAGTTCTGTTCTGGATTCCATAGAAATGGAATCAATAAAACAGACTGCTGCTGCTGGCAGTAAAAAATCCTCAATGCCATCACCACCGGAGTCACCAACAATAGCTCGAGCATTGACTAACATAGCTGCTACCGTTGTCAACATGGCTCCGACAAGTATACTGAAACCTAATTCAACGTCAGTATCATTAACATCGGACAATGAAGAGGCCCATTTAAATGCCTCCACACATGTGATGTTTCCCGCTATACCGTCAACATCGAAGCAGTTATTTCGAGACGCGGCTGAATCTCATGGCGGTAGAGAAAGTATAGCGTTTTTACAGCAGGAAGCTCAGCAGAAAATACGAAGTGCCAGCTCAACGTTGGATAAAAGCGTTACTCGTCATCCTTCCAAACATGAAAAAAAAATCGGCCATCGTCGAGTAGATGAGGGAGGTGAGGTTACTTATAAGAAAATTCAATCTAAGCAAATTATGGGTTCCATACAATTGGGTATTCAGCACACGGTAGGCAGTTTGGCTTCAAAACCGAAACGTGATCTGCTAATGAATGATTTCTTCGAAATGGAAACCATATCATTTCCTCCAGATGGTTCTTCTATAACGCCAGCTCATCATTACAGTGAATTCCGTTTCAAGGTGTACGCTCCGATAGCTTTTCGATACTTCCGTGACTTATTTGGCATAGCGCCTGATGATTTTCTTATGTCTATGTGTGCTGCCCCTTTAAGACAACTCTCCAATCCAGGGGCTTCAGGTTCTATATTTTATTTAACTGCGGATGATGAATTCATTATTAAGACTGTCCAGAAGAAGGAATGCGAATTTCTTCAAAAATTATTACCCGGCTACTATATGAACTTGTCCCAGAATCCCAGGACGTTATTGCCAAAATTTTTTGGCCTCTATTGTTTTCACTACAATGCAAAAAATGTTCGGTTAGTGGCGATGAATAATTTACTGCCTTCCGATATTAAAATGCATGCCAAGTACGATTTAAAAGGTTCAACGTTTCGCCGGAAGGCTTCTAAATTAGAACGGCAGAAAGCCAGTCCTACTTATAAAGATTTGGATTTTATGGAACATCACCCGAACGGTATTTTTCTGGAGATGGATAAGTACAACGCTCTGATAAAAACCATACAAAGGGATTGTATGGTCTTGGAAAGTTTTCAAATTATGGACTATTCTCTTTTAGTAGGTATACATAATTTAGATTTGGCTGCGAAAGAGAAAAGAGAAGAACGAATACGTAACGCTAGAGCAAAGCTGCAACGTAGCGAAGAGATTAGGGAAGCAGATGAAACGTCAGAGGTAGATCAAGCTCAAATATCTATGTATAATGCAGCTTCATGTTCTATGGCGGGAGCGGCTGGCACCGCATTAAATCGTACGCGTAGCATGAATCGGCAACGTTTGGTGGCTCATTCTACGGCGATGGAATCAATTACCGCCGACATTGACACTCCTTTCGAGGAGGACGAAGACGTGCCAGCCGGCGGTATACCAGCACGATCTGAAAATGATGAACGTTTGATTTTATATATCGGTATTATAGATATTTTGCAATCATACCGTTTGGAAAAGAAATTAGAACACACTTTTAAATCGATTATTTACAATGGAGACACTGTCTCTGTATGCAGGCCGTCATTTTATGCTCAACGCTTTCAGAATTTCATGGGTAAGACGGTATTTAAAAAGACACCCACTTTCCCTCTGAAACATTCCCCATCAAAACGGAAAAGTTCATTGGCTAACATACGTACTCCACAACGTACGCCTTCGCATAATATGACAGCGATAAATATGAGAGCGCCTATAATATCTGGATCTACAACTCCACCGCCCGCTTTTGATGAAATATCGGAAGAGGATGCGAATGCATCCACTTCGCACGACTACCGTCGGACAGGGAATTCGAAACATTTAATGACTCAAAGATCACATGTAAGTTCCCATCGTAGCCCACTTGGTAGCACTGCCGATGATTATAGTGATGACGATGATTTGGCTTCAGGCAGTGGCAGCGGTTCGCGGTCATCGCCCTCAACCTTAAGCAAAAAACCGCCTTTACAACTCTCGAAAACCAGTGTCCAGGTAACAACTATTGGTTGTCTGGGAGATCAACAATCCGACCATAAACATTCAGATGAAGGTATCGAACAAGATGTGGATGGCAAGAAAGTGATAACCACTACGAAGACTACGACAATATCAAGTAGACAAGAACAGAAATATACTTCTACATTGGTAGTAAACGATGTTTTAAGATGATAAGCTGTTAATGTTAAGTAAATGACGAAAGAGGAAAGAAAAACAAAAGAAGTCGTGGTAGCAAAGTTATTTTCTTAGGGAAAAAATTAAATTTTTTTTTATTATTTATTTACTTACAAGTGACCTTAATAAGAGAAGTCCGTGAGGCTCATTCAACGACGAACATGGAGTAGCCTTTTAATTGCAGAGCTTCGATTTTTTCTGTTGTTCTCACTTGTAGCTTTTTTAGGATTTTTTTTTTGCTTTCTAGCTGAGGAATTGTAATAATTTTATGTGCCGTTATTTGTTTTTTTTTTATCATTATTGTTAATATTTATTATAACTAGCGTACTTTCACTTGGTGAAAGAAATATAATTCAGAACAACAATAAAGTGCTCTTATTATGGAAAATAAAATAACAAAAAAAAAAAAAAAAAAACAAACCGCAGAAGAGAGAAAGCGTAGAGAATCTCTGAGGCTAATAACTTTTCAAGGACATTTATGTTATATTTTTATTTACGCAATAGATTTTTTATGAAAAAATATGGTGTACGTATTATTAGTTTATTTATTTTAAAAATCCTTATATATACATACATATAAGTACATTATGATGAGAGGGCGAACTTTTGCTAAGCATCACCCTACTTTATTTGGTTTAACAGGAACTAAGACATAAAATATATCTACCGACCGACGTCCGTCCGCGTACCTTTTCCTTTAGGGCTGAGTATTCGCTGAAATCTGGAAGAGTTGACCTTACTACCCGCAAGCTTAGTTTCTCATTCTAAGATTGCGTTTGTAATATATTTTTCTCAGATACACACATAATATACGATCTATGTAGAGAATATATAATATATAATGTAATATAATGAGATTTTACACCAAACGTTGAATGTTTTAACGTAGGCATACAACCTAAACTTTAGAACACGAGAATGGGTCATAATCCTAAAGGCGAGACTTTCTTTGAAATTTACGATTACAACCTATCTACTCTTGCTAATCACAACCTCGCCAGATCTACAATAAATATTACTATGTGAATAATATAGTCGAATGGCTTATGTCTGTTTTCATAAATTTACATTAAGCGATGGGTATCCAAGATTCGCAACGTCAGCCCCGTTATTACTTTTTTTCTTTTCTTTCACTTTCGTTTATGTTTTTTCAAACATAATTACTTTTGATTATGCGATGACAGTATTTATTTTTAGAAAAAAAAAAAAACATTTTTAATTTAATGCTTTTTAGCTCGAGCTTTTATGTTTTTCTTATTATTATTATTATTTAGATAAAAGTCTACGATGAGCTTCCTAGTAACAAAATCAAAGTGTTATTTAAATATTAATATTAAATGGAAAAAATACAATTCAAATATTTGCTATATACAAAAAAAAAAGAAAAAATGAAATTTTACATTGCATTAAGACAAAGCAAAGATTGTATATATAAAATTTTACTAATAAAGAAATCTGTTTAAAGTCTACTTATATAATATTTTGCAAAAAAATAGTGTTTCACTATAGGACATTACTATTATTCAGTTTGTTTCTATTCGAGGATACATTGGCGTCGCACACATACAACGAGCTGTTTACAGGCAATTCGGATCCTGATATAAGTGTGATTCAGAAGAGGGTGCAAGTGGGAGTGGCTGCAAGGACACTTGGATAATTGAGGGATGAATGATGCAAATATTCAAATGTACTCGTATGGCGAAAACTAGAGCACCATTATATATTGGATGAAAAATTAGGGATACTTAAGTCTAGTTTAGCAGCACGGCAAAAGACATCGCGAATTTCACACCCGTTACCTGGTCGTCAAGCAGCAAAATGGTGCCAGTCGCAGAGTCGAAAAAGGCGAATTTAGAAGACGTCAAGCGCAACCGCGGCAGCGATCGAAAAAGGTACAGCACTGACAATCATAATGACTCTACGCTAATACGTGCCCTCTCCACGTTCCGGAATTGGTAGCGATAAATGGTCCCCGAGATATATTATAGATGCCTTATTTCATATACTATACGCAAATATTACTGCTATTGACATTCTTTCATTTCCCTAAACGTGCGATAAAAAAATGTTCAGATCAACGCAGTCAGCAGGCAGCGCTAATGGCCTTTGCACAATGATTGCGTGCAGCGTGAAAGTTTTTCTATTCATCTCGCAAAGCATACAGTCTGTCCCTGGCAAGTCTTTTTTAAACTTCTCAAACTGATAACAGTGTCTTTCCATCTTATCCTACCTATTCACTCAGGTATTTCGAAAATGCTTAAATCTTACTTCGTCCAATTCATTCCTTTTAACCCCAAGAACCAATTTTGGTGCCACCACAAGAAAACTTTTCGCATCCGATCACCCATTTGCAAATATGTAAACTTTCCAAGATTAACTTTGCGTCCATAAACTGTCCTCTTTCGCATCCGGGAAACGTGAAGGGAAAAGGGAAAATAAAATCGACAATCGTAAAGCACTGATACAAGCAGGCGAACTCGCTGCGGTATTAAACTAATCTTAGATGCGAAACTGAATTTCTTCAAGATTATCGTGCGCGTACAGAAATCTTTGATATTTGGATTGAAAAACAGTTCAACGTTTTTTCTGGCGTAGGTAAAGAAAATTTGCACTATTAATATTAAATTTTCGCAAGCGCAACAAAAACAAATAAAATTTGGGGAACGCGATAACCGATCTAAACTAATAATTCCCATCATTTTGCCCGCTGCAAAATTACTGCATGACAACTGTGCTATAAAATGAAGGTAGGTCGGTTTCACGAGCAAATGCTGAAAGGTTGCTGGCTAATTTTGTTATCTACCTATGAAAGGGGATTAACTGTTAAGAGGTTATCAATTATTTAAGATAGATAACATTCTCTTCTCTGCTTCAAATATTAGTGAGTTGAATTTCTGACTTGCACCGACTTATCGACTTCAGGCCATTGCTTTTAAGCGATGAATACTAGTTCAAAACTTCTTTCAACCACTTTGTTCAAACACTTAATAAATTCTTTCATCCAGTTTTTCGCTCACATGTGAAATCTCTAGGAAGCGGTTGCTTATCGTTTTATTATTTATTATCTGTCCACTCTACGATGTATTTTCTGCCAATGTGGTAAAGTTGAGAGAGAAGGCATGCAAGTCTGATGCGATTTCTACAGCATTTCCAATTCACGGGTTTTGGGCTTTACTTTGACACAAGCAAGGGATACCAGTTTGGAAGCACTTCGATTGTTGTAGCATTTCAATTTTATTTAGCTTGTATTGCAATGTTATTGCTTTTCCAAGCTGTCGCGACTTTTGATTTTCTGCAGACTAATCACGAGCCTGAAAAACTTAATTTGAACAATGATGTAAAGAAAATGGTCATCGCAGCAGAACTTCCTCTGCGTGAGCGTCGAGACCCATCTTTGTAGGAGTTTGACTTCACTAATATCACGCCAGTCCCACAAAACCATATTTCTTACGCTGTAAGTCCTCATCCACTTCATCCACTTCATAAGGATCTATTGACAGGCTTGGTAAATTCGGATTTTAGAAAGGTAATCGTAATAGTCATATTTTTTATTCTACTCATAATTTTATTCGCTTATAAATGATTTTAAGGAATGCACGGGCTATATATTAATAAACCTACACTGTTATAGGTATTGGCGGTTATACAAAATAAGACAATTATTATTGAGAGTGTGCGCCTACATCCAAGGCGTGCTTATGCGCATATATCAGACTTCACAACGCCTTCACGACGTACCAAGTCACTTTTTCATGACATTGAGTTCAATTACTTGCAGATTTTATGACGTCCTCGAATGTCACTTTTTTCCTTTATGCCGAATTTCAGCGTAATATATATATATATATATATATATATATTTTTTTTTTTTTCAACGCCTTCTTGATTCTATTATGTCGGCCACGGTGTAAATTCTAACAATTATAATCAGAAATGAAAACTGTTTGGAGAACTTTCTACAGGAAACCTTTTTATCATAACATTTTGTTTTATTATTATTATTATTATTATTATTATTATTTTAATTTTAGACTAATGAATTGAATTCTTAGACTAAAAAAAATACATTGAGCACTAGCAACACAGGCTATCGGCTCTGTATATTGTTCCAAACGATTTTTATCAATTATTATTATTATTAATTTCGCCAGAGAAATAAATTTTAAGACTAAACTCTTAAGAGCACTAGCATCTAAGGCTTAGCCAATTTTTTTTTTTTTTTAATGGAAAGAAAACAGAAAAATTGGCAGTTGGCGACATATATGAGTATATGAATGCTAAAAAATAATCGAAAGTTTCGACATTTGTATGTCTATCAACGAGTTGAAAGGCATTTCTGAAGACGTTGAAAATATCTGTAGAACAACTAAACCTGTTATAGTCGCGCGAAGCCCACCCACCCACAATAAAATTCTTCATCTATTATCGCTATAATGAAAACGTCAAACATTTTGCCTTGTTTGCATGCAAAGCGGATTTAAAATATGAACTAAGGTTTTCCATATTTAGCAAGATTAATTTCCCCTTGCAAAAATATTATTATTTTTCAGCTATTTTCATCGAAGAGTGCGGGTTCGAGAAATTGCCCCATCGGATCCAAATCTTTCGCATCAACTTCATATGCCGAAATACAATTGCTGTATTGAGGAGAAATTGTGAATTGGAAAAAAATGTTTTCCACATAATGACAACGCTTATTGTAAAGAATATATTAAGTTCGTGCGGATGTATATAACAACCAGAAGAACTTAAGAGAGGCCCGCCTTTACTTTCACTTTTTCACATTTTTGATATTTTATGAAGAAAAATGATTCGGAAGAGTAACTTGATATGCAGCAAAATTGTATCGAATTTGGATCAAGTAGGACAGACAAGGTTAGATCAATTCAAATAATGATTCTGAAGCGATCACGATAATGAGACATGACTCCGCCTTAAATCCTTTTTGTTGTTCGGTAATAAATTCGCACAAACTTAATATACCACAAGTTGTGTGGGAATGCACATTATCCAACTGAAAATGTAGCCAGAATAAAAAAGAGGAAAAACCCGTAGAGCTTATAAGAGTGTCGTTAAGAGTACATTCGAATTTTGAAAGACCCGTGTGGCTTGTGCATTTGATTGAATCCTGAAACAATGATCGTAACTATATACATGATTCATTTTTAAGCAAATTTTTTATCCCATTGTTCGCTTCTATGCAGCGGCTTGTAATTTTATGCCATTAAAGTCCTGCTTATATATAAAAAATGATGCGCTGGTTATTAGAACTAAAGGGTAGGCAAATTTGAATTTGAATTTTAATCCTTAACTTTTAATTGATGAATGCGTGCTTGGGTCAAATTTTAGCTTCCTATCTTAATTTTTTCTACTGCACCGATTCAACAGAAAAGATCGGTCAAACTGACCCACTTTGATTGAAATAGATAGGTCGATAGGTCTAATGTTATAAAATAATATTAATTTTTAAAGATTTAGATGACTACCAGTCAAAAATATTTATGTTAATGATAAGCAGTTATATGCAAAAAAGACCTTCTAAGATAACCCACCCTGAATAGGTAAGATAGGATTTATTGGACCGCGTATTTATTTTAAGCGCATACACTTTTGGATTTAATTGAAATATAATGTAAACGAATAACAGTTTTCTTTCTTCTTACTTTATTGAAATATATTTTATCTATATCGGGAAGTGAGACCTATTCTTTTTATTTTATGCACAAATTTATGTTATGTTAGATTGCTTCATCAATATTTTGACAGTTTTGGCTTTTCTTTTTGATAAACTTTTTCTATTTTTATAAGTTATTACTCTCTCATGACTTGCACCACGCGTGAAAGTTAACACTGGCTGCAAACACTGGCAAATCATGCTAGTCAGTGATGCTCATTTATCGATATATTTCTTGCAGTAAAATTAATGGTCTGCTTTCTTCTTAAATATGAACATAACCATATTTAAAGCACTGCATGGATGTGGGAGAAGGACCTTCATATTCTTCCAAAAAAATATCAAAGAGAAAACGAAATAATAAATTATTAAACAGAAAAATAAAACAAAGAATTTGGAAAGTTTTTGTACAAAATTCGAAAAAAAATATGATCTCGCACTATCTTTTTCTACTTTTTACTAATGTTTGCAAATAAGATTGCACAAATGTTTACATATACGTGTATGCATAATAAATACATTTATGATAAAATATTTTGACAAAACAAATATTTTCTACCAAATATTTGTTTAAATATAAAATATTCTGTCTTAAAATCAATATGTTTGAGGTTAGAACAATAAGTAAAAAAGTAAATATGACTTTTTATAAAATTTAAATGAATAAAAATATCTTATGGTAACGAATATTTTCATTTCATTTTATATAATCCGCAAAGAAAAGTGCAAAATTATTTTTCTATGTGAAATCAAAGTTACAGAATAAAATTAAAAGGAGTGAAATAAAGAAAAGTAGCCCCTTAGTAGTAGAAATGTTAAAATTATTAAGAGGAAATAAATCATTTGATGACTGGAATCGAAAAACTACACAATTTAGAGTATTTCTCATTACAATAACTTCAAAGAGACCCATCTTTTATTATACCGATCAATTTAGAAGCACTTTCCGAGTCGAGTTAAGCATGTCTGTCCGTCTGTCTTGTTTTCTTTAGGTTAATCTTCAAGCCGCAATTTTTGAGATAAAATTTGACACAACGATGAGCGCTTAACCAAATATTTTTCACATCAAAGGATTTAAATAAAATATTTTAGTTCTGTTACTTTCCTAGATGTAGGTAATTAATAATAATAAAATAAAAATAAAAATTATAAATGCATATCATATTTACGGACAAGAAAAAAGTAAACTACACGGCTTGTGGTACAGGGGTATGTTAATTTGTGCGCATGTATGTTGAATTGGGCACCCCCTAGCCTTGCAAGACAATCCTGCAGGAGAGAGGGTCATTCCAAGCACTAGGTAACAGAATGAATGCTTAGGTATGGTCCAAACCTTCCCCTTTGGACAGGCAGAGGCCTATCAAGCACCTCAATGTGGAGATAACCATAGCCATCACGAACACTCTCCGAATGGTCAGGCGTCACACATTGGTTAACCTGCTGCGTTCGAAAAGGGATTGGTCATACCAGCTTCTCTCGAAGTTTCCACGTGGTATGTCAATATGTTAGCTTGCGCGAAAAATCTTGGCAAGCACCAACTTGCAACTCAATCAATGCTGTCACCTCTACCCGCCTAAGCAATGTGCTCGTGACTTTGTGAGTTCGCTTTTTTACAACTTACGGGTTGTGTGCTGGACCTGTTGAGTAGCTGACCGCATTGGTGAAAACTCCCGATGGAAAAAATCCAGAAGGAGGAAATGGCTACTATACGAATTAACTGAAAATGTCAGACAAAAAAATAGAAGTTTTTTTTGGCGTATTGTAACTGACGATGAAAGCTGGATTAATGAAAGTCGTGGGTTAGTCTAGGAAAGCCACCCGTATAGACATCGAAGCCGAATATTCATGGCCGTAAAGTTTTGCTGTGCGTATGGTGGGATTAGCAAAGTGTGGTATATTTACGAGTTACCGACGTCAATTGAACAAATTGAACGATGTGTTGTTGGAAAAAAGGCCAGGAATAGCAGTAGATTCAATAGCATCAATAGCATAGCCCTTGCCTCCTTATGAAAATAGATTGCTCTTAGTATCCTTGCTAACGTCACTTTTGAAACGTAGATATACCTTGGTGTTCCCTTCTTAGTTGAGTAAATAAATGGTGCTGTTGTTTCGACGAAATTACTTAGCAAGACATACTTCAATGTTCGTAATGAGTTCCCAAGAAACTATGTATTCATAAAACTCAGTGAATGTATATATAATTACGAGCTTTTCAATCAAAATTTTTGTATATTTATGTGCGGTTTAGGAGTAATAAGGTAAAATGTTTTAGATTTTTTAACTTCACGTGGGTTTTACATGGTAGACCTGAACATTACCGTGCTCTGACAATTGATAAAAAAATTTCTCCTCAATAATTAAATTTAAATAAAATCTTAAATCGCTTTTAATTCGACAAAGTATTTACTAATGACATACTTGCAAGGCTATGCAACTCTCTTGTCGTGAATTCCTTTCCAACTATGAATGTCTGCAAAATTCCAACAATTTTCTTGCTTAAAAACTTCTTTTTCCGTCCAATTTGTTATACAAGTGCTCGTTTCTTTGTTAATGCTCGTTTTTCTTCAATTCTGATTTACAGTAACTTCATAAACTCAACAAAAACTTCTTGACAACAAACAGTCATCGTCTTCCTTTTGCATAATTATGTCATTCCAACGCAGTTACAGCAAAGTTTGGTGGTGTTCCGAACATCAAAGCAATTCAAACATAAATAATCCCCATATGTTTGTAAACGGTAGCAATAACTTGACAGATGACTCCTCTAATTCACACTCTTCTTCGGCGACATCATCGCGACAGCAGCAAGAACATCATGGCGAAGAAATGTATCATTCATTGGATTCAAATCATTATAAACGTTACACTGGCAATTTGTCGTGTATACAAGAGCATGAGGATGAATATAATAGCTCGAAATTATCTTGGCCCATACACAACAGTCCCGGCAGTTTGAGATCGCAGGTACCATTCAAACACAACGTTGTTATTTTTTTATTTTTTTTCGTTTCTTATCATTTCCGCTCTTCTTTATACTTAGGATTCCGGATTTTCCGATAACGATGATTGTCATATAATGCGAACTTTAAGTGGGCGTTCGTCAAAGCGAAGATCACCCAGCAATAGATCGTCACATAGTTCTAAGAGCCAGATGGGTTCACCATCGTCAACACGGAGCCCTGCTGAGACGCCACCAACTATTGTAAGACGAGCTGGCCGTTCAGAGTTTTATACGCCCTTAGTAAACGTAACGAGACGAATATCGTTTGGCCCTTCTCCTACGAAAATTGAAAAGAAAGACAACTTTAAAGAAGATAACGAAGATAACCTAATGTGCCAGTTGGATGGCACAACATTGGTAAGCAATACTTCGCTCGGCAGCCCTATAAAAACATCAGAAGTTTCGAGTTCCATTGTCCATGCTAACCTTACAATGGAATCGTCCCCTATATCTCGCGTTAAAAGGCGTAAGAAAGTGGAACGTAACAGCTTCAAGCCTCTGTCACCTACTCACAAACGTGAAACAAAATGTATTCACTATCAGCAAGAAGCAGAAGAAAGTAGCTTTTTAAATGCTTTGGAACGAACTAGTTTAGCTGACTATAGCAATGAGACAGTTTGTGTTGGCGAACAGCCGCTTTGCTCTACACCACCGCCACCGTATAATAATGAAACTGTTATTTTAGGCGGACTCGCCGATGGTTACCAACAGCATTTTAATCATGAATCTGTGTTATCTCTACGATCGCAAGCGCAATTTGAGGGCTTTACTAGCACGCCAAAGAAAGAAAAATTCTATTCATCGCCCACTTGCACGCCGCGATCGCCATTCAAGTATACAGAATATGAAAATTCCTTATTGAATGGACATTCCCCGTCGTTACACAGTTGGCTCGATAATTTGCGATTTAGTTATGACCACGAAGTAATGTCTACTCTACAAACCAAATCTATAACTCTGGAGGCATATAAAAATTTTACCATTACTACACATACAGTGGCTAGGCTGTTACGTCAATTACAACAGAAGGCTTTGAATATGCAAACTATGTTCGAGCGAGTGGAACAGTCGATTACAAAAGCACAACCAACTTCCCTACCCGAAGCGCTACGTGGGTCTACAAAGCTAATTGAAGAAGTTCAAGAATTTACTCAAATTCTTAGGCGTCGTACTGTGTTCTTCTCCGAATCGCGTATCGAACGTAAACGTTATGAAGATCATTTAGATCAGATCCGCATGGTGGCCAAGGATACATTGTACTCATTGGAACATCAACATTATATTAATCTCCAATCATTACTTGACGATGTGCAAGTATTAAAGCGTAATCTACTGATAACCATTCGTCAAGTTTACGTGAAACTGATCAAGATTTTAATACAAAGTATTGAACGATGTGGTCAAAGTTCGGATTTAATGTTACGAGCCAACATTAATATGATTGCTACTCTTATGAATATTGAATACGACGGTTTTGCTTCATTAACCGATGCGTTCGTCCAAGCGCAAGCGGTGCGTACCTTATTAATCGTTTGCTTGGATCATCCGTTGTCATCAGTTAGAGCTTTGGCTTTGAGGGCTTTAGCGACGGTATGTTGTACCCCGGAGCCTATCGCTCAAGTAGACTCGTGTGGTGGTATAGAAATTCTAAGAGATATTTTACAAGCTGTGGGGTCATTAAAGAAACCGAATGAGATTAAACGTGGCGATACGGAACGACGAGAAGCTGTTTCATTGCTAACACAAATCACTGCTCCTTGGCACGGACCTGAGCATAAAGTTGTTGGCCTAAAAGATTCACTAGAGTCTATAGTAGAAGGATTAACGCAATTGCTAGTGTTCACCGATTGCCCGCAAACATTGTTACTGTGTGCAGCAGCTCTAAATAACCTTAGTCGCATGGAGCTAACAGCCCACTACTCGGTAATGTCACATGAAACTATATCTAAGTTGATAGAGATGGTTAGAAAGCGAACCGACCAGGAGGAGGACGAAGGCATATCTGTATTTCTTTACGTAAGTGTGTATATTAAACTTTTGAAAATTTGCTTTAGAAATGCGTTCTAATACGTTGCGTTACGAGGGTTTATTTTCCAAATGCTTTAAAATATTTTCACATAAGCTTATTTTGGATATTTATTGGTTTAATTAATTAAGTCAACACTTTCAGTACTTCTAGAAGTTTATTTCCTCTTCAGGGATTAGTCTGGATCCTATTTCTGATGTATCCCTCTCCCCGTTGGCAACACTTATGATAAAAGGGTACGGTAGGTTTGTGTGAATGTATGCAACACCCAGGAAGACTTGAGGCAGATCCACTTGTTGTTCTGAATCAAATTGACCTTGTCTGTCCGTCCGCTTTTATTATTTTCTTGTGTTCAACGTAAAGGCCGAGATATTTTGATGAAATTTGGTATGCTGACGTGTTTTGGCCCAAGAAGGAATGCTATCGAAAGTGGTTCAGATTTGACCACATTCATCGTCTTAGTTTGGAAAGTCGTGAAATGAATAACTGTACTGTGGTATAGAGTATTCGATATTGCATCGTGTCCCACTATAGTGTTCTTACTTGCTTTGCTTTGCAAGGCCACGAAAAGTTGCAAACATCGTTTCCTCTAGGCTAAGACTTCCTGCTATAGAAGATGCTATAGAGAGTTCATAATCGGCTTAGGTTAGTCAAATATCCGAAATATTACCACACAAGTCAAGTTGGTGTAACTACTAACATTTAACATTTTGTCTGCCTGTTAAAAATGCTTCCGCAAGAGCAACATTGCTTAAAAAAAATTTTTTTCATTCAAAAATGTCTTGTCGAGTGAGGCTTAAAAGTTCCTCTTTAGATCAAGGTCCTCTACGAAATCGTATACATATATAATGCAAAGAATCGTATTGTATGTTATCTTTTATCGCATCGTGCTTAAATGGAAATTCGTCTTACGGAGAAACGATGGCTTCCATCATAGTTTTTAAATATTCAATACATTTTTTTAATCTTTAAAATAAAAATTTTTACTTCAGCGAAGAGGCATTAAAACCAACTTAACTTTCAAGGTTTACAAATACCATCAAATGCATTACTTTCAGAAGAAGGGTACAAAAAACTAGTAAAATTTATTTCTACATTTGTTAAGTAATTTTTCTTCAATCTTTGGCACGTTCCGGAGTGCAGTAAATGAAATTGAATTTTATTCTTTTGCTCCTTTTCCCTTTACGTTGTAGAATGTGCAAAAAAAGTTAACATAAGCCATTCATGCAATCGTCACGCTCTCGTACAATTTTTTGCAATATATATATATATATATAATAAATATTTACGTATGTCTTTAACTGCTACGAAGATTTTGTGAATTCTTTTTTTTGTTTTGCTACTTCACCTATCTTTCGCTTTCTTTTTCTTAAATAGGAACAAATCGTGTCCATGCTATATAATATGTCACTAAACAAGAAATGTCACAGCCATTTGGCCAATGTCGGTATAATAAATTTCATCACGTCCGCATACCAAACGGAAATCCATAGAAGCTACAATTCCCGCGGTGAAAGCGAAGCCCAAAAACGTATCATCAAATACATTTTGCATACACTGACGCGTCTAATACAGGACTCCGTATTGGGTATGGAATTACTTGAACAGCAACAGTATATGCCTTCCGCCATTTTTTTTAATACATTGGCAGCGGATGTTAAGCAACAATTGCCTTTGGATAATAGTCACAATAGTCAAAGTCATGATATTTCTTTCCTAACCCGTCAGCTATTACAATTGCAACATAAAGAAAACCTCATACAAAAGTCAAGTCAGCATCATAAGCAGCATCAGCTACAGCGACAAGAACAGCGGCAGCAGGTTGTAAGCCCGAAAGGAGATGGTACAGAGAAATCAAAAATGCAACTGGCACGCCAGGAAAGTTATGTGTAACCCGGCATATTTTCTTTTTTTTCTTTTTTGTTCCCTTCCCTACCCAGCAAAAACATACTTTGATTCTTTCAAACTTTTAAAAGCGGGTGCTTTACATGTTCTAAATGGTACTCAATGACGTTTATTGTTTGGGGTACTTTTCCAAGTGCCACAAAGTCAGTCAAGTTTTCATTCATTCGGTTTATCAGCCACGTTTTAGCTTTTAGTCAAACGTGCGTGCAGTGTAAAATAGTCACAAAGAGAATAATAGAAGACGATATAAAGTAGAAGAAACGAAAACGGCGTTAAAAGGGTTTATTTTTTTCTGCCATATAAACCTTTTGTTAACAGTAAGTCCCATGCATACATTTTGTATTTCCTTAATACTATGGAATTATTAGGATTTTGTTAGTTTTTTTATTAGTGTTTAATAAAAATAACATAACAGCAAAAAACCTCAATCTTTAGTTTGTAATTTATTTTGTTTTTTTCATGTTTTTTTGTAAACATTTGTTGTCATTGTCTCTTACGTATCACCCCACGTTTTTGGGAAAAAAATGTAGTCATAAATGTGCCAAATATAGAACATAATATACAAAAATTATGCAATTATGTACAAATATTCTCGTTAAGTAAATAATCTGTTATTTATATTTAAAAACTTTAGTACTAAACGCCAAAGACATAAGAAAAAAAATGCTTGTACGTGTTCTCATTTAATTTTAGTAGTGAAATAAGGTAAATAATTATATTTTGAAAGCTTTGCCGCATACGTAAATAATAATAAATAAACACTTACCAACACTGTTTTCTGTTTTCAACATACAAGTCTTCTTTTATATTTGCTTCAGCGTAATTCATATAGACACTATTCTCTACACTTACACATGATATCTGGCTTTTTTTAAATATCTTTAATAATGTCTTGATTTCACTTGAAATGAGCTCTAAAAACATTACTTTATTATTTTATGGAGATTTTAAACATGTTTTCAATAAAGTTACCTAACTAATTGAAAAATAAATCACAATTAATTTTTAGATCAACTAAATCGTGTTTTCATCGTCAGAAAAAAAACTAACAAGTACATTCTGTGCGCAGAGTTGCCCGTAAGAGCAAAAATGAAATAGAGAAAACGTTAAGTATTCAAATCATTTCATTATATCATGTGCAACGCAAATTCGAAAGAAATTTTTCTAAACTTAATCTTGGTAAAAACATTCATTAATTTGTTTATTGATTTTGTTCCCTTTGTTTTTTCCTCTCTTTTATTACCATAAATTAACAAAACTTATAAAATTAATCAATTTCCTACTAGTTTAAATTTGTTTTACATTTTTTAGCTTACCAATCGATTGGTAAATATTAATAAAAAGTGATCTAAGGCAATTGTTATATGCTAAAAAGACGAACACCTCGCGACACAGTATTTTATATATGTGCTTCGCCAACCACAATCGCTTGTTTTTTGTGTGTGCATATGATGACTCTATTTCTGATCTCTGTTTCCAAAGCAACATTTGAATATATCTTGTGTGTTTTTTATAATGGTAAATGCTTCAGACAAAATTAAATTTGTATTAACGGACACTTTGAAAGGAAGAAATTTTGTATGAATTTTTATTTTATTTCCGGTATTTGACTAGATTTTTTCCGTTTCAAAGTTTTATACTAGATTCTCTACGATAATTTATTACTATTATTATTATTAATTTCGCCAGAAAAATAAATTCTAACACTAAACTCTTAAAAGCACTGGCATCTAAGGATTTTATTAATAATAATAATAATACAATAATAATTTTAAATCTCTGACATATGCGTTTCTTCTGTTTGTATACTAACAATTTTCCAAATATTTCTTCTCCAACTACAGGTTTGAGCACATCACAACACAAACGTACATAACACACCAATAACTTTACAAGTTGTTTTTTCCCTCTTAAATGTATTAACTTCAAGATTTTACATTGAAACACTCTTTATAACATATAACGGTCGCATATTTTTCTCAAGTTCTCTATTTTATATGTAAATTTGTAATCTTCTCCTATCCTCACGGCGATATATTTTTTATGGGTGGGTCAAGCGGGTTAACGTTTAAAAGCACTGGAGAATTTTCCTAGACCACAACTTTTTTAATTAAATCTTTTGTATTTGATTTCTGCATTTCAGTTGAAATATAATATACAAATAAATATAATGGTCGTATAATAATTTTTTTGGTCGTACAATAAATTTTTTGGTCGT